CTTACTGGATCATGCCTTCCATGATGTTTAGTGACATAGAACCTAAATTCCCTGTTCGAATTATTTTAGCAAATACAACTTATTAGTATCCAAAAGTAAATGTTACAAGTATGTATACAAACATATAAGCTAATGAGGATTGTCGATATGTATACGTCTTGAGAATCGATATGAAGTCTTTGTATGTCACCGGGTCCCTATCTATTGAATCAAAGACCCATGCCATGCTCCTCCCGATATCGACGCCTATACAAATCCAGTGGTTGCTGCATGGATTTAATCATAGAACTAGATAAGCTCTTTTACATCGAATAAAATATATCGAACAAAGATTTAAGTATAGAGTTGAACTTACTCGAAGTTGTATGGTAGCCATATAGTAGAGTCCTGTTAGAGATTTTTAAAAGCCAGGGCAATGTATGCCAAAACCTTAAGGGACTTTTGTCTTAGTTTCTTTGTACGGATGTCCTCTTTCTCCCGAAGGGTATTTCCAGCAACTAGCTCTTTGTCATCCAGTTTTCACTGTCTAGGGTAAATAAAATTTATTTATGCTATAGCTTGAGGGTCTATATACCCAGCTTTTATACTTGGCATTTATTTTACAATGTGCACTTGCATTCTACAAATCACGGCGTGGGTTAGTTACAACAAAATCCAAATATTACATTCATATCATATCGGGAGGAAAAGGACTTACAGGCACCACGTGCGAATTAGATTCATTTCCATTGCTCCGAGGTGAAAGGATGTCTACATGTCATTGAAGTCAAAGATAATTTTCCCGGCTGGGCTTCCAAATGTACCGGTGGGGAAGCATGCTTGTACGAGGTCTATGCTCGTTAGGAGAACATGCAAGTACCAATCATGGAATCTTCTCATTCCAAGTGGTAGGCGCTGGATGTTCCGGTTTGGTAGGAAGGGCTTGCCTCTTTTATATGTTTTCGGGCAATCCTTTGACCATTTGATGGCATCAACATTTGGATACTGCTTTGCTGTTTGGTGGAGTTTGCTAGTGACGGCCTCCTCAGAAGCCCGTGATGGGACTTTTTTAACTTGGTTCTTAGGCTTGAACTGGTCATGGGAATACCACTTATGCACCGACAAGACGTCTTTCATCGGAACATAAATTGGTCTTATGGTGATTGGATGCTTCTTTCGAAGTTTCCATTCAGGCACGCCCTCATCTTCTTATGCATCACCTTCTTTAGGAGGCACTCATTGTTCATGTATCGGCTGTGCTTGTTGATAAGATTGTGGCATCTCATTATGCACTTACTCGGTACGAGCTGGAGAAGGTTGTGGCTTATCAGGCATATGCTCGCTAGGAGGCAGGGAAGAATGTGTCATCTCAGGAATGTGGTGGTCATGAGACGGTGAAAATATCTCCCCGTCCTCAACAACTCGCTCCAAATTCGAAAGAGGGGGAGGCGGCGAAGAAGCAGTCAATATAATGTCCCATTTGTGCTAGAGGATGAACTGCCCCATTACGTCTCCGAGTAACACCAGCCCCTCGGGAGTTGCGTAGTCTATCATCCACTGCATTAACTCGGGCTTCACAGTATGCACCTCGACCCTAGTGTAGTCCGGCGGTATGTTATTATTGTGGTGTAAGCCACCGTGAGGATGTGCCACACCCGTTGCCACCTCCATCACAATGTTCTGCCGGCCGCTGAGAAACACCAAGGTGCAACTAGTTGGTTCCCGTATGCGATCGATGGGGGTTGTGGCTGCAGTGGAACCTTGGCTGCTAGAAACTTTCGGAGGGCTGCCAGCTAATGCCAGTTCTCCCGGTGGCGTCATTAATGTCCGTAGCTCGATAGATAGTCCTTACTCCTCCAACGCCTTGTTTACTATCACTTTATCAGATGAAGAAATGACCAAAATAAAAGTTGTAGATCTTGATGAGTTATACAACTTTAGTATTTATCACTTTTTCGGCTAAAATCATTTAATGGTTGAAAATCTCATTAGAACTTGTCATTTTTTAAAATTTAAAAATTTGAATTGCTCAAACTTTGTTAAACGAAAACAATGACTAAATCAATACGGTAACTTGATAGGGCATGATTTTAGAAAATTTGAGAAAAAATCATCACATTTGGAGTTAGTATGAGGGAGAAAGAGTACTTATAAATTTTACCCATAGATTAAAAATAAAAATCACAAATGTTCATGATGATCAATGATGAACAAGTGTGATTTCTCTTTTTAATCTGTGGCTAAAACTTGTAACTAGTTTTTCTCCCTCATAGTAACTCTAAATGTGATGGTTTTTTTCTAAAATTTTCTAAAATCATGCTCTATCATTTTAGTCTGGTCATCTATCTTTGTCATTAATTTTGGACAATTCAAATTTTGAATTTCACAAAATGACAACTTCAAACCTGATTTTCAACCATTAAATGATTTCAGTTGTAAAGGTGATGAATACCAAAGTTGTTACACTCATCAAGATCTCCAACTTATATTTTGGTCATCTTTTCATTTGACCAAATTTGAACAGTTTAAATTTTGAATTTCAATAAATGGCAACTTCAAATAAGATTTTGAAACCTTAAATTATTTTAAATAAGAAAGTCATGAACATAGAAATTGTTGAACACATCACTATCTACAACTTTTATTTTTGTGATCTTTTCATTTGACCAAATTTGAACAGTTGAAATTTTAAAATTTAATAAATAGCAACTTCAAACACGATTTTGAAACCTTAAATGATTTCAACTATAAAAGTCGTAAACATAAAAGTTGTTAAACTCATCACTATCTATAACTTTTATTTTGGTCACTTCTTCATGTGACAAAGTATTAGTAAACATTGTTCACAAATTCACATATGACTAATAGTTTCATGAACTATACGAGAGACATGTTGATTTGTGAACAATGTTTACTATCACTTTAGTCGATGAAGAAATGATCAAAATAAAAATTGTAGATCTTGATGAGTTATGCAACTTTGATATTCATCACTTTTTCAGCTGAAATCATTTAATGGTTAAAAATCTCGTTAGAACTTATCATTTTTTAAAATTTGAAAATTTGAATTGCTCAAAATTTGTTATATGAAAACAATGACCAAATCAATATAGTAACTTGATAGGGCATGAATTTAGAAAAAAATCATCACATTTCGAGTTAGTATCGAGGAAGAAAGACTAGTTACAAATTTTACCCAGAGATTAAAAATAAAAATCACAATTGTTCATGATGATCAATGATGAACAAGTGTGATTTCTATTTTTAATCTGTGGCTAAAACTTGTAACTAGTTTTTCTCCCTTATAGTAACTCAAAATATGATGGTTTTTTTCTAAAATTTTCTAAAATCATGCTCTATCATTTTAGTCTGGTCATCTATCTTTGTCACTAATTTTGGACAATTCAAATTTGAATTTCACAAAATGACAACTTCAAACCTGATTTTCAACCATTAAATGATTTCAGCCGTAAAGGTGATGAATACCAAAGTTGTTACACTCATCAAGATCTCCAACTTATATTTTGGTCATCTTTTTATTTGACCAAATTTGAACAGTTCAAATTTTAAATTTCAATAAATATCAACTTCAAATAAGATTTTGAAACCTTAATTATTTCAAATAAGAAAGTCATGAACATAGAAGTTGTTTAACACATCACTATCTACAACTTTTATTTTCATCATCTTTTCATTTGACCAAATTTGAATAGTTGAAATTTTGAATTTCAATAAATGGCAACTTCAAATAAGATTTTGAAACCTTAAATGATTTCAACTATAAAAGTTGTGAATATAAAAGTTGTTGAACTCATCACTACTACAACTTTTATTTTGGTCACTTCTTCATGTGACAAAGTATTAGTAAATATTGTTCATAAATTCACATATGACTCATAGTTTCATGAACTATACGAGAGACATGTTGATTTGTGAACAATGTTTACTATTACTTTGTCAGATAAAGAAATGACCAAAATAAAAGTTATAGATCTTGATGAGTTATACAACTTTGGTATTAATCAATTTTTAGCTGAAATCATTTAATGGTTGAAAATCTCGTTAGAACTTATCATTTTTTAAAATTTGAAAATTTGAATTGCTCAAACTTTGTCAAATGAAAAGAATGACCAAATCAATACAATAACTTGATAGGACATGATTTTAGAAAATTTGAGAAAAAATCATCATATTTTGAGTTAGTATGAGGGAGAAAGATTAGTTATAAATTTTACCCAGAGATTAAAAAGAAAAATCACAACTGTTCATGATGATCAATGATGAACAAGTGTGATTTCTCTTTTTAATCTGTGACTAAAACTTGTAACTAGTTTTTCTTCCTCATAGTAACTCCAAATGTGATGATTTTTTTCCTAAAATTTTCTAAAATCATGCTCTATCATTTTAGTCTCGTCATCTATCTTTGTCACTAATTTTGGATAATTTAAATTTTGAATTTCATAAAATGACAACTTCAAACCTGATTTTCAACCATTAAATAATTTCAGCTATAAAGGTGATGAATACCAAAGTTGTTACACTCATCAAGATCTCCAACTTATATTTTGGTCATCTCTACTATAAGGGAACACTCAAAATAATGCTTGGTACACCCAAGATTGCGTCCTCCGCTGAGATAGTCCAACCAATGTGCACCAAAGATTTTGTACCTAGTATTTTAACATCATTAAAATCAATGGCTGCTAAAGCTCCCTCAAAGGTTTCAACTCGATCTGATGACCAACATTATTTGGATCATCCGGGCTTCAATGCTGGGCCCTCCCTCTGCCCCGACGCCCCTCCCCCACGCGTGACTTTTTCTCTCCCCCACGCGACTCCGACTCTCCCGCTCCCCTCCCCTCTCTCCCCCATGCGACTCCGACTCCATCTCTCCTGAGGCGGCGGCGGACGTAGGGTGACGGCGCCCTCGCTGGCGCGAGCGGGCCCTGATGGCCCTCCTCAATCACCCCCGACCCGCCCTAGATCTGCCTGCTGCCATGGCCACCCGCCGCCTCCTGCTGCTACTGCTCACCCTTGTCGCCAAAGCCCACCCGGACACGGTTCCCCACACGCGTGGGGATGGCGGGGAAGGGCGCGTGGGTGGTGCCGGCGCCGGTATACAGGGAGGTGGAGGGGTGTGAGGGCGTGGTGGAGCACGCGCACCCAGCCTTCGCCTCGGCGGCTCCGTCGCCACTTCGTCTCCGTCCAGCTCGGTGGCTTGCCATTCGCCGTTCAGCGCTCAACGGGCGATCTAGATCCAGGTCTGTTCTCTCTCCCTCCCTCACCGTAGCTCCTAGATCCATCTGCTTGGGGTGTAGTTGATTTCTCCATGGACATTCGATTTTCCATTCATCCATTTTGCTTCTGATTTGTTGCCCTGGTGGCTTATAGTTAATTAATTGCTACTTCCGTAGAAAGAATATGCTTGGCCGGATGGAGCCTGATTGGATTGTGTAGAACTGCAGGTGCTTGGCTGGCGTGGAATCAAATAAATATGGACGAAATGAATGGCAGAGCACAGCAGATTGGAGCTAGCGTTGGCGCATAAACACTAGAAAGAGTCACTAAAATTTCAGGTAAAAGGTACTGGAGAAATTAATTTTATTTTAAACCCATTTAAATTTATAAATGAGCGTCACCTGTTAATTCAGATCAACTTACTATTCTTAATTGGCATCACTGCAGTACTTTTAACTAATGCAGTTGCATGTGGGAGACATAACATTGCAGAATTAGTTTGTTAGAAACTGCAAGCACTATGCATAGATGTTTTAAAGAAAATATATTTAACTTTTTTTTCAACCATTCCTGTCAGAAAAACATTCTGATACTTCCTTGGAGCCTACAAACTTAGGAACGACCAATTAGTTCTAAGGGAAGGTCTAAACCGTAAGAAGCACTTTGCATTTTCAATGTACCTTGATCCAATTTGGGTAAAATATTGTGAGTCTAATAATTCAATTTATATTACACAATTTTTAAAATTCTGGAGAACTAAGAAAGCAAGGGAAAATTATATGTGGTTCTAATTTATGTTTCAGTCGGCCCATATTATCTTATCAATTACTATTTTCATGTGCACAATCTTTTTTCATAGAGATTTATCAGACATAAGTATCTATAATGGTTTTTTTTGAAAAATTTGCCATTGTGATCTCAGCTTCTTAAATTCTTAATCAGACATAGTGCTGTTTTCCCTCTCCTTTTTCCCTATTTCTTTTAACTGAAACATGCAGCTACAAACCTTCAAGCGGCATCTCCAGGTGAGTTCTTCCTCCTCTCTGTATTTCCAATTCAGTTGGTTTCTGCTAAGCTGTAGGCCAGCAGTGCAACTCATGTTATGTGCCCCTTAACATATTCAGGAAACAGTAGACATAAGAACCTGCGAGCAATCGGTGGCAAAGGCTTAATTAAACCCTTTTAATTGTCAGTGCCTATTGCATTGGATTATCTTTGGTTGATCCATTAGGATGCATCTGCTACATACAATTATATTTCCTGACAATATTAGGATGCATCTATTGCACTCTATTATCTTTGGTTTAGCCATTCTTGGTTTGCTGCTACCTTATGTGTATGTGTTTATTTCAGATGGAGTACCTATTTAGACATTCTCCTGCTGGTAAAGAACAATGGATACAGTCAATTATCAATGGAATTCATATTGGAGTAAACAATCAAACATATAATGTGCACCTAAGATCAGTAATCGCTCAGTCAATTATCATGTTCAGATCCTAGGGAAAGGTATCATTTTGAGACAGACAATATGATCCACAAGCAAAGGTATAATTTCCTCTTCAACAAGGCTATTGTATAGTGGTTCAAATTGCATATCCAATTTCTATGCCCCTGGCGCAAAGTGTTTTCCAGTTTATATCTTAGCAATTCCCCAGGAAAAGAATCATACTATTTCATCAATCCTGATCAGCAGTCTGCTAATATTAGGACCATTTTAATGTGATGATATTATAACAGATCAAGGTGTCCACGACAAAATGCAATTCCAGTGGTGACACAAGCCTCCAGGAATGACCAAGGCTGAGTACCACCATCTGAGAATACTCATGGCGATGCATGAACATTATTATTAAACAAAATAGTGGTCCAAATTATGCATGTTGATGCATTGCTTGTTTAGGAGATTCTGATTATTCTAGCTAGGAGCCTGATTCAAATAGTTTGCATATAGCCTAATTTCTTTTGTTTTCATATAGATTATAATAATTTAAAATATTCCTGGTATGGCTGCATAGATCTTTTGGTTACCTTGTTTGAATAAGGCTTGTTCTCTTTATAATGCCTGCTCTGTTTTCAATTTTTCCCCCAACTGCATTGGATTCAAAATCTAAGATGTTCTTTTTCTGATTAGCAAAACCTGGTGACATGAATCAGTGTATTTTCTGTAGGAGACAAAGCTAGGATGGCATATGTGGCGTTCAAAACTTGGATGGTTCAATTTCAGAGCGCTCAAACAATTGGCTTGAGTCGATAATGGGTATAAAGTGTAGAGCTACCTCTATACCAGCAAACATCATTAGATATTAAGTTTTGTCCTAAATTGAAATATTATAAGCAAGTTTTTTCATTTTTAATGACTTGAGTCGATAATGACTTCTTAGTTTCCCGATTATATACATGCTCAAATATATTGTGTAAAAGTTGAATTATGGAAAAAAACATTGATTGTTTTCATGTGCGTCTCCAAGATAAATCCATTGCGTTAGCACGGACATTATACTAGTCTTTTCATTTGACCAAATTTGAACAGTTCAAATTTTGAATTTCAATAAATATCAACTTCAAATAAGATTTTGAAACCTTAAATTATTTCAAATAAGAAAGTCATGAACATAGAATTTGTTGAACACATCAACATCTACAACTTTTATTTTGATCATCTTTTCATTTGACCAAATTTGGACAGTTGAAATTTTGAATTTCAATAAATGACAACTTCAAACAAGATTTTGAAACCTTAAATAATTTCAACTATAAAAGTCGTGAACATAAAAGTTGTTGAACTCATCACTATCTACAACTTTTATTTTGGTCACTTCTTCATGTGACAAAGTATTAGTAAACCTTATTCATAAATTCAAATATTACTCATAGTTTCATGAACTATATAGAGACATGTTGATTTGTGAAAAATATTTATCCATAAATAATTAAAATACATATTTGTTGATTACAATAAACAATTTCAAAGACAACAATTAGCAACAATTATATTTTACCTAATATCTTTTATGCAAACCATAGTCTAATTTCATCAAACATAAATTTACAAAAATAAAATTAATAAAAAAACCAAACCCTAGATCTAGATCTATATGCACATGAAACATCCATAAAACTAACTAATTGTTCACTAAAATCATAAAACATTAACCAAATAAGGGTATAATCTTGTTCAACTACCTAATTTACCCTATTACATTTATACAGCGGATATTTGTAGGGGCGGCTGGTGATTGAGCCGCCCCTACAAATCGACCCCATTTGTAGGGGCGGCTCGTATCACCAGCCGCCCCTACTATGCCATTTGTAGTGGCGGCTGGAATCATGGCACCCGAGCTCACCCACTGTAGGGGGCGGTTGGTGGTGGAGCCGCCCCTAAAAAAAAGTCCCTGTTGCTCAAAATCGTTTTTTTATAGTGTAGAACACACCGCTTATTGACCAATTACTTCATTCACTAGCGATGGCCATATCGTGGCTATTCCACCAACACCGCAATCAAAATCCGAAGCCGGCTGCTTGATTGTACATTGGACACACCTTCTCATGAATTATATACCAGCTGAAACCAGCTTAGCTGCAGCAGAATTGGACCAGTAGTAACCTCACACATAAAAGTTGGCTGGCATACGTCCTTGTCCGTGCCCCCCACCCACCGTAACCCTATAGACCTAACGTGAACAAGGTCTCAGCAGCCATTTTCATTTCTTACAGTATGTTGAAAAAATCGCAGTCTCGCTTCTAATAATTTTATTAATTTCGGTAGCTAAGTAGTTGTCGCTGGTGTTGTTGTTAACGCTCTACTTCTTCCATTTGTAAAATATGAAGTTTTGGACATTTATATGCATGCATGATCCCCAATATGTATATAAATTTGACCACAGCTTTTTATATTATTTATTTATGAACATGATAATAGGTTCGCAATTTGTAAAATTATATGCACTACGAGAATACTTTTCACTACATAGTACATCATGTTTATGTATGATCAACTTTAAGTAAGGGCATGTTTGGGACGGTTACACTTCACACTTTTTCAGCTAAACAGATGCGGGATGCGGCTCCATAAACTCTGCTCTAGAGGAAAAAAAAAAGGTGTGATTGAGAGAGTACATAAAAGGTGCTCTAGAAACTCTAGATTTTTGGGAAAAAAAAGGTGAGCGATGGGTCCATCTGACCCTGGTGCGCCCATATGCTGGATCACCGACGCGTGGCAGGGAAAAAAATCGAACGCTCGCGAGAGCATGGCACCGGCTGACGCATCTCTCGGCTCCTCACGTACTTCAGCTTAGGGGTGACGCTCCCGCAGTCCCGTGGTCCCGTGAGCGTTTGATTTTTTTTTCTCTGCCACGCGTCAGCGATCCGAGGTGCCCCGTAGGTTAGATGGACCCATCGTCCAGACTATTTTTTCATTTATTTTTGTGAAGTTGCTCCACCGTAAAATTTATAAAGCAAAGTTGTTGTAGCAGTTTCAAAGAGACCCTAAATAACTTAACTCCTTCGCATGCATATGCATGGTTGTTGACTCCTTGGCATACATATGAATGGTCGTTGACCGGTTCAAGTCAGTCCCCAGCAGCTTGGCGGCAGCCAGTTACATACCACTGTCCACTGGTATAGCCTATAGGAATCCACATGCACGCATGTCCTTGTCTGCGGAACGCTGCGAACTGAACGAGATCATCACCACGCACGTCGTACACTGGTACTGCTATGCTATAAATAGAACGCACCTCCTGCTAGCTTCTCCAAACCACGCAAAACCATCGATCCCTCTCTAGCTAGCAAGTCCATCTCATACTCGCTGCTCTCAGCTAGCTAAGCTACCTAGCTAGAGCCCAGCCCCAGGAGCGAGCGGAGAGCTAGCTAACAGCTCGCCGGTGTGTCGTCGTCCATGGGGAGCGCACCGGCCACCGTCCACGAGATGAGGCGTGCGCAGCGCGCGGATGGGCCAGCCGCCGTGCTCGGCATCGGCACGGCGAACCCGCCGACGTGCTTAGCCCAGGACGAGTACCCTGACTACTACTTCCGCGTCACCAACAGCGAGCACCTCACCGACCTCAAGGGCAAGCTCACCAGGATCTGCAACAAGTCCGGCATCAAGCAGCGCTTC